CTTAGTAGTAATATTAATTATATGGTATATATATAGGCAAATTCATTGCTCAATCAAAAAGAAAGAAAGAAATTTTTTATCCAATTTATAGAAAACAAAGTTATAGTTTCCTGAACCGTCATGCAAAAGAACCAAAAGACAACTGGACTCCTCCCTATGAAACTTTACCTTATGGATATGGATGAGGCCACAAAGCATGAATCATCCAGAAATGTCGGACATCCAACAATGACATGGCCTTTCAGCAAGATAGTCAGCGGAAGAAGTGGTACGGGTAAGACTAATTTACTAGCAAATTTGTTCTTAGGGGATAAGAGTAAGCATATATACAAAGGATGGAAAGGGGGAACGAGATATATTAGATGTGATGATTTGATAGTATGTGGTTACCATCCTGACGAACCAAAATGGGCATTTGTAAGATATATATATGGCATAATTTCAAAAGATCCAAGAGTGCCATATTATGAGAATATTCGGTTTAGCTATATTCCTTCTGAAAGGATTCCAAACATGAAATCATTCTCACCAGAAAGGAGCACTGTTATTATTTTTGAGGATTTGTGTGTTGCCCCAGAGTATATACAAAATCAAATTATCCCTTTCTTTACTCACGGACGCCACAGGAACATTTCACCTATTTATATAACACAACGTTATCATAAAGTTTCCATTATTATTCGAGAAAATGTCTCCCATTTAGTGATATTTAATGGTGGTAGTAGCGCTCACGATATCTCCAAAATTGTTGGACGATATACTGATGTTGTAAAGGGTGCATCCATGGTTATTAATAGCTATCTCCGTAAAGGTAAGTTTGTTGTATTTGATCTCAGTAGGCCGGAGGATAATCCTCTTGCCATTCGACTAAGGTTTGACACACTATTGAATCTACAAAAAGAGATAGAGGCAAGGCAGAAGCGGAAGGAAAAAAATACCTCAGCTAATTCATAAAACTTTTTACTACACTCTTGCAAGCTCAGAGATGCAGAAATTAATTACCTTTGACACATCTATAACTGATAGTAGTTTGCATGCAATGTGTACTCCGAAAAGGCATTCTAGTAGATAGACTCAATTAAATATATTTATTCGTTATATACTGTAGTCCGTTCACCGTTTTTCTAATGCTATTTTTGAGATCACAATTGGGAAATAAAATTTATACATTAATATTTACTTGCAATATATGCAAGAAAGTGTCGATGTGAAATAAAAATCTATGAAGTGTATATTTACATTTTTTTTCGTTTTCGGCTACGTACAAATTTGAATCGTGATATTCCTTAATATAGGTTGATAAAGAATTGCTAAAAATGATATAAATTGCTAAAAAAACGCTATAAATCGATAAAACACCACTGATTTGTTAATAAGTATGACCAATCCAATTACAATCATTATTGATGAGGTTTATAATAAATCTGTACCCAAACCCGTTAACCTTCGTCCAGGATATTTGGATTATGTAATAAAGGATTTAGTAGAATGTAATAGCTATAACTATAATCGTATTGAAAATATGTGTAAAACAGAAAAAAAAATATGATGACTTAGCTATTATTAGACCCCATGAAACACCTCAACAGTGGGCTATTCGTATAAAAGATGATTTGCAAGAGTTACGTTCTAGAGAAAGACCTAGTATTTATTACGTATACTGCCTTTTTGGTTTATTTGGACAGGGAAGCATTAGAACGTACCTTGAAAATCACAGGCCTAAAATAGAGCATATCAGCTATCGAAGATCTAAAGTTCATAAAAGTCAAATAGCTCTATACTTCAAATGCTGGCAATTGGTAAAGATTACTGAAGTAGAAGCAAAAAAGGTATATTGGGACAGATGGCGTAGATGGAGTTATGAGATTAAATCCGAGGACTTGATACAAAATCACTGGGATAATGAATGCTCCAAATGCAAGATGGAAGTACACGAGTTATCCAAAAAGCTTATCAAGATATTGTGCCAATCGAGTCTATGAAAATTAAAAGCTTTACGCCTAGTTTGATTAATGAGCCACGTTTATTGACTCCTCTGCCATTACCACCAAAGCCTTTTGCATTAATAGGCGATCTCTCAAAATACTCTTGTAAACATAGTGTAAGTGTACCCAAGATTAAAAATCTTTGGAGTGATCAATTAAATATGCCTAATATTTCTAGCAGGACTAGTTTGGGCCATGTTGCTGATGCATATTTCAATTCTGTGCAAAAAAATGCAAAGGAGATAGACTTAATATCCTTTGATTAAATAATAGCATAAATTTATTTATCTTTATAACCTATTCATATATAATTATTATTGGGTCATGTATTCGATTTTTTTTAATAGTTGTCCACCATTTTTCTAATGCTATTCTTGAAATCACAATTGAGTAATATATTTCTTGTCTTCTCACAATACTTGCTCGAAGCTAGATACACAGATTTTTAAAGATATTATTAACTATGTATCTTTTTTCGAGCTTCGAGAAAAAACGTGAAATAAAATTTCCAAACTAAACCATGTGTTTGAAGATAAAAATTTATTTAATGTATATTAAATATTTATAATACAATAAAAATATATTACATTTCTATAAATCTGGAAGCGGATCTTCTACTCTTAACCCATGCCTAGCATGTACCAAAGAAATATGACCCCTTCTACAATCTGTTGATGAAGGAGGAATTGTTATTTGTTTTTTTTTTGGTTTAAAAAACATAGTTCGGGAATTCAGTCCTTGAGCATTGTTAAGATTTTGACATTTAATAAAAATAACATTATCCCTATTAGCATTTCTCTCAATCTCATCCTTCAAATCATTATATACCTCATCGGATTTTCGTATATTATGAAAAAAGGTATCATGTACAAAGTATACAATACTATGACGAATACCTTTTGTAAGTAGGAAATTACTGTGGAGTAGAAGACGTGAAGAAAATGCCACAACTTGTCCAGGCCTAAGCGATACAACAATCTGGAGTTGGGGGAAACATAATTCTCCTCCCTCAAATTCTCCGAGGGCAACCAAACAGCATAAACTATTTGGTTCATCATGTTCATCCCAATGGTAATCGCTAGTTGTATTGTAATTAATAGCGATCATCGGGAAGATTCCAAAGGGTCGAGGTGCAAAAGGTCCCACACCAACTTCTCTAGTTTTTCATATAAATTTCCATAGAATTCTTGTACAAATTCATTAACAGAGGTTGATAATGGGCCAAGGTTGCGAAGTAAAGTGTTAACGCATTCTTGATGCGCGATATTATGGGAGCTTGCGGTATTTGAACTAGTAAATGGGAGGAGGTTATTTCGAGCTTATACACCAAAATGTTCTATGAAATTTTTCCAGAATTCATCACTACGGTGGAAGGGATTATTTAAGGTATGGAAATAATAATGGTTTACAGCACTCGTTGCTTGTATAACCGCCTTTGGATTATTAAGTAATGCCAGATGTATTAAAGTTCGGCCATCCATGTCAGTAACACATTCTGGCTTTATAATATATCGAAACTGCACCAACCCTTTTAGTGACCAAAGATTTCCTTGTGCAGAAATTATCATTTGGGTCTTTTCTTTTCGAGAGATACATGGGGTTATTGTATTTGAAAGATTTTGTGATTCTATATAATTTCGAATTTCTATGGCATGTTTAAGTTTTACCACTTACAACGGAGGTGCTGACGTATATCCCTTCTTGTAAATGGTTCTTTCATCCCTAACCATTGTCCAAGAGAAAGCCACAATTGTTCATTTAGATCTTTGGTTTTGAACTTAACATAATTAACCTTAATTATTTCATTATTGATAAGCATTAGAAAATCGGGTGGAATCTCAGGTAACTCGATATTATTTACTAATACAGCTTCTCGAATTAATGTTTCTATTAATAATTCTTCTGCTGAAATTTTTTCTTGGCTTTTAACTTCTTTTAACAACGCTCTGCAATCAGAAGGACAAAGAGGAACACTTTTCCACTCTTTTTCGATGTAAAATATTTTATCTTGCGTACATAACCCCGAGTTGCATGTTGGGTTCGATGCTAATAGTTTATAACACAAAAAAGAACGAAGTCAAAATTATTATAAAGTTTATTAATAGGTTTGGATGAGTTTTTAGATTTATCCTTTCTACTTAATATTTTTGTGGACTGGACCAACCACCCTAACTAATTATTGGGTTATTAAAATAATAACTGTGTGTCTGTTGAACCACAAATATACTCAGTAGAGGCCCTATCGTTTTAATAATAGAAACGAAATTTTTTGCATAACTGAGTATATTCAATAATAGCTTGAAAAGGTCGACCTATCAACACAAGAACAATCCTAGCAGTGAAGAAAGAATTCGATAATTATTAATAGTATATACCCGGTTAGGATCAAAAGTAATATCATTAATCGTTAATGCTATGGTTGGTGCGGTAGGTAAATTATGGTCCATTGGTAGGATCGAAATTTGTTTTTTTTCAAGCCTACGTTTTTTATTATAACGAGCATGATGTGACAATTTTTTGGCTGGTTTCTCTTGTGACACGCTAATAGGGTTAGAATTTTTATTTTCATTTTTACGCTTCTCAATAGATGCTTGCATTGTTTTTGAATTTTAAGTTACTAATAGGTAGAAAGTTTTAGCGATATATAGCGAAGCTTGCAGGGTTATAAAAAACAACAAATAAATTATAGACGTCTATGCTGGGAGGCACCTCTTTTATTAGAAAAATATAAAGGTATATTTATTCCTAACGCATGTCAATTTATAAATTTGCCAAATATTTTATCAGCATACATAATTCGGCAATTTAACATTTGCAATGTATTTTTAAAAAAGACATAATTCGACATAGCAATGTTAGCAAACAATTACACGTCGCTTTATTTGGCGTTATAATAATTTAACACGATAATTTCTAACTAAATTCGGTACCACAATTATTGGCATGGGGAAATCAATCAACAATCGCACGTTTTCTATAATTGGGATTACATAACTTGTTGAGGCGCATTTGGCTATACGGGGTACAGTAATAATTTTACACGCTATATTTAAGCTGGATCTACAAATTTAGAATAACCCGTATGCACTTCGTTATGCATTATAATTAAAATATGTTGATTAAATATCTAGCAAAGTGTAAATACTTAAATACCTGTAAATATAAATGTGCGTTAGTTTAACACGACCACGTTAATAGCCATTCAAAAATAACAGCCGTTAGTGACTTATTTCGACATTGATCTGTGCTAGAAAAAATAAGTACATATTATGTTGTATTGTATAATGCAACTTAACGGTCCCCGGGTCCGCTTTTTATTTTGGCCTAGATCGAGGCTAAAATAGCTTGATATTCAAGTTTATCAGTTCGAATGAGCGATAAAACCTTGACTGGCTTTAATAATCAATGGCCTGCATTAAATTTTATGCGGTGTCACTCTCCTGCAGAATCATTTCTCACAGTCGATTTTGATTAATAACCACGCGCTCTAGAACTTTTTCCTTACCTTATATAAGATCCCGCGATAAGAATGAGACTTAAAAAGGCTATAAGGGCAATAGGTATAACGTTCTTAATTAGTAGTTTTATTAAAATTCATATATTACAGGGACTTCGAATCTCCGCCATCTCCGAGATCGTCAGATCTAAACCCACTTTAAACGATCGTTGATTATAAGGGGGTTAATTTCACTGGAAAAATGGCAAAATTGATTCAGTATATGGTGCTTATGGCCGAATAGACTTGCTTTATAGAGAAAAAACTGGCGTTGGATTTGGGTAACGCAATTACTAATCATGTAACTTTTTTTTCTAGCAAGTTTTTTAGATCTAGCGAATGGACAGTATAAAAATAAGCAAGTCCCTGCCCATAAGATAAGTTAGCAATAACGTTATTTTTTGCTCATATATATTTTTTGAAAAAAAGTTACCTGCAATTTAGTTCCAAGATAATGTTTTATATAAGGTTGTGACATTTATAGCAAAAACTACGAAAGTGAAGCTTATATTTAGAAAAAATGGCCACTGATAATTTTGAAACCAAGTTTCAAGTCGCCCTCGATCCAAGTATACGTACAATAAATATTAAGTGGAGCGATACGTTTGAAATGGTTAAAAGTAAAATTGAGAATCAATTAAATACCCCCGTTAGTCGTATTGCTAATATTCAAAATTTACAACCAGGAGAGAAATTTTACTCCTGAAGAATTTGAAAGGACAATCTTTATTATAATTCCATAGAAATATTTTTTTTATTCGCATTATGTAACAGTGATATATATTTTTTTTATTTGTATATTGTCGTTTCGGCAATATAATTTTTTATAATAAAGGGAGGGGGTCTGCTGGGCTCCCAATTTTTTATTTTTACGTGATCTTTTACAGTGTAATTTGCAATTATTAATTAGTGGAGAGACAGGTAGAAAAGTGTCGATGTGAAAAAAAATGATCCTGGCTTAATATGCGTAGATTGAACGATCTGATTTTCTATAAGTTTCGCCGGTATTTAAATTGTAGTAATAACCTTCATCATCATCAGAAAAACCACAATACCCTCCACCATCATTATCATCATCTTCGTTGTTATTGAAGGAATCCTCAACATAAGAGATGACGAAGTTTTCATCTATGCTTTTACAGATACTATTGGGGTTCCACGATTAAGAGAATCCTTGCATTTGATACGATAAGTTCGTTCTCCGCAATAGTCACCAGCACCCCATTCACCTTTTATATCATTCCATAAACTCTCTTCTTTATGGTCTCCATTACATAAGGGACAGAGTGTTGAACTATCAAGATTAAACCACTCAC